ACATTTTAAAATTGCTAAGATTGGAAAACACTAAATAGGTCAAGTAAGGCAGAGTTGGACTGGAATGTTGATGAGGCTACTTGAAAAGAATAAAGGAACAAACTATATACGTAGGTCTCTGCTGGAAAACTCCATTACTTGGACCCCTTACTCATATAAAGTATTGCCATCTCCAAAAATCCGGGTTACGCTTGGCAAACTCAGACTGTAGATAGTTACATGTATGTAAATGTGTGCTTGGTTTTTGTTTTTAAACAAACTGTGCCACTTCTTTGGAGTTAAATTCCCATATACCAGACAGATTAGAGTTGCAGCAGGCACATAGCCATATATGTTTTACTTCTGGAGCAGATGGATTGGCTGCCATGGCCTCTGGAGCTAAACTGAAGCCTTAGCTTTATACGACTTGAATTTGGAATATCTAATGAATTACCTTTCCTTTCACATTGGTAAATTCTGAGATTATCTGGACGGGTCTTTGTGTTCTTGGAGTATCGAGTGTCATTTGGTAATCTCTGGCAGGTGATTTCTTTGTGAGGTGACATTCCCAATTTGAATTTTTTTTGCCCTTTTAATTCCTGAGATGGTCTATAGTCTCTTTTTCCAAGCCTCTATATATGTTTGCTTTTGCTTGTATTCTTTTGTCCCTTATACTTATATTCCTAGCTTCTATCCCAGTGGCTCAACCACAATACCAAACTAGCTTTCATATATCTACATACATACAGTGTATGCATCAGAAGTGGGTTCCTACCAGTTCGCACCTATTCGGTAGAACCGGTTCGTCAAATCTACGGAACCGGTTAGAAGAGGTTCCACCAGTGGACCCGGAAAGCAGGCCCACCTACAGAAGAGGTTCCAATTTTTTTTGAAATCCACCAGTCTTTGGATATGATTATTCTACACTATCATGCTCATATTTATAAAACTCAGTGCTTCTGTGAAAGGTCGGGATGACTCCTGCGTTTGTGGGGCAATCAGAACATTCCGTTTTTGAAGTTGTTTTAACGCAAACCAAAGATGCCTTTTAAAAAA